CTGACCACTCTTGCACAGAGTTCAGTGATTATGTTAAGAACGCATGAAGATTTTCTTCACATTCTCTGCAGATCTTTGTGGTGTGGTGTGGTGCTTGGCACAGAAGTATTTTTTTAGTTTTTTGTGCATTACTGATTTCTTGGTGAAGGATACAAATTGTGGATATTATTATTATTATTTGTTTCCTTCTTGATGTTCGTTCATTTTTCTTGGGTCCAAACTTTCTCTTAAGCATAAAGAACAATCATTTTCATGCCACATGTTTTTTAAAAAAATCAGTCTTAGAACTAAATCTTTATACCTGAAGTTGTCCTTGTCATGTTGAAACATGTATTTGATGGAAGAATAATTACTTAGAAAAACTGTTGTGTAGGTGGTTATTTTTATGTATTTCATATTGATAAGATTTTTATCCTTTTTTATGAATGTTTTATTAGCTCCACAGGAAAATACAGATCCTTATCTTTCTTGCAATTGTGTTATGTTAGGTTGTTATTAGGACAGGATGGTGAGAAATTACTGAAGGAGGAGAAGTACACACCATTCTTTAGACTACTTCTATACATTGAAGAACATCAGATGGAAAATGATATTCATGCATATGACTGTAAAGGCCAAAAAATGGAAGCTGTGGATGGAAACAAAAATTTGCTGTGCTTAACGGTAAGGAAGACAGATATCTTTGCTCAAGTTACTGAGCCCCATAACCTTACTTTTCCAACAGATGACAATTCTGAGTGACTCTTATAGTTCATAATGTAAGATTTACAACTGTTGACCTTTGAAGACATTACACCCATGCCTTCCTGCAATAAAGAGTGTATGTACAGTAAAACCTGTGTTAACCGACCCTCGATTATCCGATTCCCGCATTAACTGACTGAATTTCAACCAGATCAGTTGTGTTCGGTTTCTACCGGCGAGAGTCAGTAAAGCAATGCCCACTGACACTGCCTTGTTCTATTTAAGATTGTGCCTCCTGGGTTTGTATTCACATTTCTGATAACCTTTTCCATGGACAGATTAAACATGAGTCTAGATAATGAATCTTAGTAGCTAAGTTTAACAATACATGGACCTTTCCTTCCACTCTCCCTATACAACAACTTAATGGTGTGATGCTCTAGACACAGGGTTAACTTCACTCATAAATTTATCATACAGGCTTTTTGTAAAGAAATTACTTATTTGATTCAATCCCCTGTAGTATAATGAACTCCGTATTTGTAACTTATTTTCTTATATTTCCAATGCAGGTGCCTGGTCTGGCAGAAAATCGACCATCTGTCCTTCGTGGTGACAGCATTTTTGTGATGATAGAAGGAGAGAAGTCTGTGAAATATGAAGGAGTGGTTCATCATGTGAGGGAGTTGGAACTTTTGTTGGGCTTTCACAGATCGTAAGTGTGTTTAATTTGTCAAATTTGGGGGTTAACATTAGTAGAGAAAAATCAGGAGAGTTGAGAATGCACAAAAATTGAGAAACCTAGATTGCTGATCTTTTGAGTTTCATGAAGTTTGTGGATTCATATAGGCTGTAAGAGAACTGAAATACTTGAAGAAATGTCTTCATGAAGTAGTTCTAAATTAGAGTTAAAATTTGAGGTTGATGATGTCATTGATGTTTCAGTGGAAATTTTATTTGTTTCAGTTTGAGAGAGAAATTTTTGCCCAACATGAAGTTCTGCGTCCAATTCGGGTTCAATCGTTGGAATCTCCGCTGCCAGCACAGAGCTCTTGAAATGATAAAAAGCCATGGTATAACAAATCACCTGTTTCCTAGTAAACACACAACAATTCCACTCAGGAATGTGACTATAACGTAAGTACTATAGTATAAATACTAGTTATGTGTACGGTTTGCTGTGCAGTATGAAATATATGATTGCTTCCAAAGTATTGTATCAAACAGATATATGGAATATTCCTTGAAAAGGAATTGGATCTTATTTAATAATGTTTCATCTTTGAGGCATTTGTAATTCTGTTTTACTCTAATCTTGTATTGCCCCAATAGATTTGGGTGTACAGTATAGTGATGCATGGATGAGTCCACTTTCAGATATGGAGTTAGTTTAGCATGTTGATACTGTGTATGACCTACGCTTCCGGGTAAGAGCTGCGTTGAATTTCCGGTGATAACCAACATTTTGGCAAACATTTCAGTTTCCATTTTTAAGGTGGTTATGAGATGGGGCCACTTTTGGATGCTTTATATAGGGCAGGCACTGAGTGGTGAGATATATTTTATTGTGCTGATTATTCATCGTCCTGATAACAGAGGCAGTATGACCTCTGAAACGTTGGTAAACATCGACCAGACTACACACTGCAACAACTCGGAAGACAGAAATCTTCATACTCACCGCTGTGAAAACCTCAAATCTTACATATATTTTCGTTCAGATGCTTTAATCTAATCTTTGTACAGAGGATAGCAAAAACTATAAATTAAAATAATACGATATAATGATCATTTCTTTTTACATTTTTCACTATTATAAATTTTTTGGACTCCAGCAAGTGGTTCAGTAAACACCTGAGTGGGAACCCAAAGCAGCGGCAGGCAGTGCAGAGCATAGTGTCAGGCACATCATATCCTGCTCCCTATGTCATATTTGGTCCTCCTGGTACTGGCAAAACTGTTACTATTGTGGAGGCTGTCACTCAGGTAAGTATAATTTGAAGGGGGGGGGGAGTTTCAGTGCCTGAAAAAAGTGCTGAAGACAAACTTCCCAGAAAATGGAAAACTTACATGAAAAGCTTCATGCACTTAAAATATTGGTAGAGAAGCCTAATTTAAAAGGGGTTTCTTGGAGATCCAGGGCATAATAGGAGGATAATATTAAAATGAATTGTAAGCATATCAGTTGCAGTGGCTTTTATTTTAGTGCTGATGAATTATTGGGACTCGTAAGATTATTGCATGAACATGTAACTAAACAGTGTGATAATGTTTGTGTATTGTAAATTTTAGATGTTAAAGGTAGCTTTAAAGTTATGTGCTTATACTGAACAGCCATTTTAGTGTGGTTGCTGAAACTTTAAGTAAGTAAAACCTTTAGTTCCATAATCTTGTCATACTGATATATTTAATTTTATTCTAAAACAAATACCCCATTAGGTTGTGCTCTGACATTTGTATGTTATAACTCCTTTACTGAGTATAATCATTCAGACAGTGTAATGGACCTGGGAAGTAAAAGCATTCTTAATAAGACTTAGGGTTGTCAAGAGGTAAAGAAAGTACTGAATTTACATGTATATAAGTGGCGTACATATATATATATATATATATATATAAGGACCACCTGACCTTTATGAAGACAAAAAAAAATAATAGAATTACATTCATGAGCTATTGCAAATTAAAATTGTGTTTATCAAATATACTACTAGTCAGTGGAAGGATAAGGAATATTTTTCTTTTTGATATCAATAGTTGTACCATCTGGACAAGCCTAATGGACATCTTCTGATTTGTGCACCATCTAATTCAGCAGCAAATGAAGTCACCAAAAGGCTGCTAATATCATGCCAAGGCCACATTCCAGACAGAGACATATTCCGCCTCTATGCTGCCTCATATAATGTGTAAGAAACTTTGTCTTCATGTTCATCTGAAATATTGATAACATGTACACGTTTACTCTGCTTTGTAGCACAGAAGGCCACAGTCAGCTATGTATACCTGCCCCCCCCCTCTCCCTCTCTCTCCCCCTCCCTCCCTCCCTCTCCAATCCCCCCTTCTCTCACCATCTTTTCTTTTTTATAAAAATACTGTAGAAAATTTGTTTTGTCTTTTATTTCCAATGTTGGGGCATTTGTGCTTTGATCAAATTGTATCAGACTTTGGTACTTGTGGCTTATCGGGACACATCGCTTTAAAAATAGGTTAGGTTAATGTGTGTGGATAAATGACATGTAATTGAAAGTTATTATATTTTATTTCAGTAAATGACAACTAACCTAACCTAACCTAACCTATTTGTAAAGCGATGTGTCCCGATAACCCACAAGTACCCAGACTTATTATATTTTCAGTGTGTGTTACAGAATTTCATATTTTTTTCTGTATACTATAATAATTAAATCAAGATGCATGTGTTTGTGTGACATGATAGCACACACTTGAGAAATGGGAATTACATTCAAAACTGTGACCAGAAAACTTGGTAGGAATGTACCTATACAAGGGAGGTAATGTTAAAATTGACCATAGAGAAATAGGGTATGAAAAAGGGTGCACTATATTCAGCAGGCTATAGATAGGATAGGATTATTTTCTGTATTGGTTTGTTTATTGCTGCTGAATTACAGGCAACTGCCAATTGACAAGGAGACTAATGTTTTCACGGTTTTTAGTAGCAAAACTGCTGTACCTGTTAGTGGTGGGAAGGTTGGTATGATTCATTGCTTCAACTGCCACACATTCGTGGACAAGCTGGGCATTGAACTTCAGGTTGAATACTCTAGTTAGAAGTCAAATTAAGTTATCATGACTAAAGAAGTGAAATATATTTGAGTCCCATTTGTTTACACAGACCTATATAGTTCAATTAATGTGACCAATTGAACTGACTATCTTGTGTCTTATTGTGTTCTAGTGGAGCTATTCCTGAAGAGCTAAAGAAATGTAGCAACTATACAGATGATTTCTTTTTTCCATCAAAGGAGGAAATAATGAAATATGCTGTTGTAGTGGTAACACTGGCCACTGCTGCAAGGTATGGGTCACTCTTGACTTCTTATATTGTATTTATTTTAACTTTTATTATGTTATAATTTTCTCTTACACTTTAATGAAACCAGTATGTTACATTCTTACAATGACAGCCTAAATTGAATGTAAAATTCAAGGAAAATGAAAACAAATTGATGCATCTGTTGAAGAGTATAAAATAATACAGAACAGTATACTGTGTTCTTAAAATATTTTGAAGTAATAAAGCACCAACATATATGTCCTCTTTTACTGTTAAATATTTATGTATCTTAGTTTTAAATATAAAAATACTGTCTGTTGTTTAAAAGCTTTCATAAGCCCTGCTTCCGACATAATGGTTTATTAACCAATCTCAGGTTACAAAACAAAATTCAAGAAAATATTTTACAGTTTTCTCCTTTATGATAAAAACCTGTAGCTTTTCATTATTCTTGGGGAGGAGGGGGGGATTTAACAGTCATTTAATTTCATATCAGTTTCCCCCCACCCCCCTCAAATGCTCTTAATACCTTCCAACATTTTCATAACTTCATTTTCATTCATTAATCTGCTGTGTTTCCTTCTCTTGCGATATAATAATAATAATCTGTGGCATAACAGCTCTCCGAGAGCTGAAGCTGACTGTCCGACTAGCTGGCTGCTGGCCTCACGTTCACATGCCTAAGCAGAGGTGAACGATCATCCAACCAGATATAGGGTGACATGTGGTCAGCACGACGAACCCCCAGCCATTGCTAATTTTCATGACCAGATTACGCTACCCGTTGTAGCTCCCCAATTTCCTCATGATGCTGGGTTGGCACTGATCCCACACACCGGTCGAAAATCTCATGAGAAATTTCTTTCCCCGAGACTCGAACCAGCACACATTCTGTATCACCTGTCCGAAGCATCTTGCCATATACCCTTCTTATTAATTCTTACATACAGTCTTCATCAAACCAATGTTGCTTTCTTTTACACTTTCGTCCAGAATAATGCATTTTATCCTTGGCAGTCTTAAGTAAAAATTAACAGTTGATTCACTAATTAACTCTTCTGCTATATTTTCTGTTAATACAGATTGTGGGACATGACATAATAATTTAAGTTTGTTTTCAGAAATGAAGGGCACTAGATACTAGATTGAAGGAAAGAACATTTGTTTAAATGACTTGTTTCCTGAGGATGTGTGTTTGTAATCAGGCTTGTCACTGGAGGTATTCCTGCGGGTCACTTCTCTCACTTATTTATTGATGAGAGTGGTCAGGCTGTGGAGCCAGAAACATTGATCCCAGTAGGTGGTCTCTTCACCAGCGAGAAAGAGAACGGCAGATTGTTTGGACAGTTGGTGTTGGCTGGTGACCCAAAGCAGTTGGGACCGATACTGCGATCCCCAGTGGCTATAAATCTTGGTTTAGGTGAGCATTATACCTCTCTGAATCTTTATGTATTCACTGCACAAAGTGCATAAACTGAATATATGATGTCGAGGTTGTGTCTGTTGACCCATTTGTTTTGTCTTTGAAAGTACTTAGCATTGTTTGATATCTGTGATTCACATTGAAAGTTGTCAGTTGAATTTAATTTTGTTGTGCTTACCTAGTCAGTTACATCCCCCACTTTATATGAATAAATTAAAAAAGAACATTTTATAAAATAATTAGTGCATGTTACAGAATATAAACCTCTTTAAGATATACAGGCACTTGAAGAACGGGTTGTTCCCAGTATTCCCCCAGTATATTCATATGTAAATGTTTATGTGACTGAATCAGACTTTTTCTTTCTTTAAGGTATGTCTTTCCTTGAACGATTGATGAACCAGTGTGACTTGTACAAGAAGAATGAAAGAGACCAGCTTTATAACCCAGCTGTACTTACCAAGTTGGTGCAGAATTTTCGATCACACAAGTCAATACTTGCTCTGCCAGATAGAATGTTTTATGAAAAGGAACTACAGGTAAATGTAAAAATATATCTCTCAGAAGTATGACTTGTGTTTTTGTTACATAGCAAGTTGGAGCTGAGTTTCATCTTCCACTTGGCATTTAGCATGACAAAGCATTGTTAGCATGAAGTTCCAGCACTTTGTATGGATTATTATGAAACTGTTTTCCTTTTTCTGGAAAGTGTTTGTAAACTTTTTTTCTTCCCAGTTTTGCTTCAGCTTAAAGTTTGACAGTTGCTAAGTTTGAGACACTAACTTGTAGGCATTTTGGTATTTCAAGTACTGAAATTGACAGCAATCTTGAAATGCCAATAAGAAATTTATTAATGGCATAAGTAATTCCATTTTTACCAGTTTGTTTGGATGGGTCTTGCAAAAGAGATATGCCCCCCCCCCCCATTTCAAAATTAGAAAATGGGAAAATTAGACTTGTTTTTGTACCATGACTGCTGGTCAAGACCTTGCTGTAGGAACCTTAAGGCATTTGCATACGCACAAATATATAATTCTTTTGCTGTTAATTATATAAATATTAACTGCGTTAGGTATGTGGTGATCCCGTACTAACATCTTTGGCATGCAGCTGGGAAGGTCTTCCAAAGAAGGGATTCCCATTAATCTTTCATGGAGTGAAGGGTAAGGATCAGCGAGAAGGAAATTCCCCAAGGTAAAAGTCTGAATGTTATGCTACATATTACATTGTAGCCTGTTCTGACAAGATGGCTATGTTTTGAATTATCTTTGTATGTCTTTGTCCTCTTTCGCCTCCCACATCCTTCATGTACAGTAATATGTTATGGTAGGTTATCAATTTTTCATTGTAATCCTCTGGTGATTTTTGTCTGTCTGTCCTTCCCTTTCTCCCTCCCACTCCTCTCTACTACTACTGCTGCTGCTGCTGTTATTATTGCAACAATGATGATGATGATAACAACAACAACAATATGAATTTTGCATAGTTTCAAGTTTATATGAGGTCTGTTCAAAATGTATTGGACCTTAATTTTTCCCACAGAAAGGAATGAAGAACGGGAGGTGTCCTCTGGTGGGGGTGGTGGGGGGTGGTGGTGGTGACCTTCATGCGCATGTGTGAATTTTTTCCCGCCCGCAGAGAGCGGCAGTCAGCCTGTGAGTGAGTGAGTGAGTGTAGTGAACGCCCGTCAGATTTTCATTTACCGCGAATCGGGTCCCTTACGGCAGCAGTGCTTCGTTTGTTTCCATGGGAAAAATTAAGGTCCGATACATTTTGAACAGACCTCGTATATTGTAATCAACTCCTTGACACTTTTTAAATGTTAATTTCTGCTACTTGAATTTTACGAACATTTTTATGTTCCTTAACCCAAGTTTTTTCTCTTCTCTCTCTCTCCCTCCCCCTCCTCCTCTCACCCACATAAAAGTGTGGGAACTACATTTGCATTTTAAATTCAACCTTCTTGCCTTGCTTATTATCCTATGCATTCAATAATAATGATGAATTGAATTACATCTTCATTAATTTCGTAAAAATGTATCATAGAAGTAACTAAAAATTAAAATGTTTTGTTAATGATTTAATTAGGTAATTGCCAAATATCACAAAATCTAATCTACAATACTTTATGAGCATATTTGTCGCCCTGATGACGGAGGCAGTATGACCTCTGAAACGTTGGTTAACATCGACCAGACTACACAGCGCAACAACCCAGAAGACAGAAATCTTCAGTAAAATGACTGTTTGTGTCTTCATGGCTAGAATTCATTTACCAATATGGCATAAGGATTTTTTTCTTCCATCACATCCAGAATGATTCTGGAATTCACCACCCCCATTCAATGAGAACTGGGGCTCCTTTCTTACATTGAAAGTACTTACAGGATAAAGCTGTCCACTGTCCTGTTGAGGCTAAGAACTTGTGGTTCTTGACTGCAACACTGATGTACTGATTTTGGTATGGTGGTTAGGCAGATGTATTTTACTTTTAACAGTGTCTTTGCCACACACTATAGAACTGTAGGAACAAAGTGTTTTACTTGCAGTTACTTCAACGTCCAGGAGATTGAGGTGATTGTGCGTTATGTGGAACAACTGTTGGCAGATCGTTTCAGTGGTCGAAAACTCAGGCAACAAGACATTGGTGTTATTACACCATACAGAAAGCAGGTGGGCTCCTTGTTATGCAGTGTATTGACTTGAAGACTGTTTTTTTGAAAATTTTACTGAAAAATGGAGGTGGTATTGATATTATTTATCTTCAACTTCTTAAAAATAATTGCCACTTCTCATGTAAATGTATTGGTTACTGGAATTTTTCTCTTGGATGTTCCTTCACTGTTTGATGTATGTATCTGTTAGATACATATTTTCTTTCTGAAAGGTGATGTTCTGAAACCCAGTAGTGAATTTTATGTAATCTTGGAAGTGAAAATTATTTGCACCTTTTCTATCATATAGTGCAGTTACTGAAAATGCAGTTTTATTTGTATATGCCAGATGTTGAGTAAATGTATGAAATGCATGCTAATGATCACTGAAGTTGGATTACAGATTTTCCTGATCTAATTATCAGAAGTGTTCATTTTTATTAATATTTTAACCATTTTAATTATGTGTGAAATAACAGTTTGAACAGTGAACTTACAAAACCCTGAAGTGGAATGTATTTAACACAGAGGTAATTGCATTGGAATCTTTTTTCCCCCAACTTTCAGCTTCATAAAAATAGGGTTGTCTGTTTTTCAGGAATATGTATAATTAAGTTATTTGAACAAATGTGTTGTATCTGGGAGTTTAGTATAATTTTGTGCCTAGTAGGTTTCGCAGCTTTACCAAATTTCAGTAAATCTGTTGAGTATAGGTAAATATCATCCTTTCATATAATTTAAAATGGCATGACCGGTTATTCTATTTAAAATAGTGCTGGCAGACAATTTACCTCCCCTCCCCTCTCATTACTTTGTTGTTTTTTTATCTCCCACCCCCAAGAATGTACTAAGCAAATGCATGTCAAGGAAGACATATCCATCTGTATGGATTCTTTATATCTGAAATGTAATGAACATGTTTTTATGAGATTTAGTATTGGATCTTGCACCAAAAGTTGTCAGGCAAATTTAGTTTTGATTTTGATGGTTCATTGTAAACCCTGCTTTGTAAGAAACTGAAATCAAACTTCATTGACTACCTCAAAAGTGGCTCATCATATAAGAGAATAGTATGTAGTACAGAACATGTTTAGATATTATTAAATATCTATATCATTGAGATCTATACTTTTACATTAAATGATTTTTGATTGGTGAGTGGAAATGCCTTTGGAAAATGTTTGTATTCCTTTTGGCTATATCTCTAAACTCTTATTAGAATTTTTGGGAAAGTAAAAATAATTATCTTTTGTGAATATACTGAGTGCCTGCCTCATTCATGTCTGGTTATGGTGTGATTGATGAACATAAATGTGTATACAATTAAAGGTTGAGAAGATTAAACAAACTTTCAAGAAATGTAAGTGGGAACACATCACTGTAGGCTCTGTGGAAGAATTCCAGGGTCAAGAACGTCTTGTAATCATAATATCAACAGTTCGTTCTACTGTGGAACTTCTTCAAGATGATTACAAGCTTCATCTTGGTTTTCTGAAAAATCCAAAGGTATAGTTGATGAGTTACTTTATAGTGCATCCATGGGTTTAATTCTAGAGCTTTGTTATTATTGTTGTTTATTGGATGATAAATCAAGAAGAGTGAGATTGACAGAAATATTATTTTTGAGTGACGTGGGAAATGCATACAAAACTTTGGCTCATAACCCTCAAGGGAAGAGGTCACTTGAGATACCTAGGTATAGTTAGAAGGATAATATTAAAATGGATATTAGCGAAATAAAGTATGAAAATATGGTTTAGATTGAATCAGTTCAGGATAGGATTCAGTACGGTTGTGTGAATAGAGGGTGCAAATGATGATAACCTCAAGCTCCCATGGAAAATAATTTCTTGAAGATGGCTGTCATCTGGGGCATAGCATTATGTATTCTGTTGGATATTTACCATTGTTTTAGAGGAACTCACTGCATCCATCATCAGCTTGATTTGATTAGTTATCTATCAGAATAAGCAGTGCTTTGTTCTAGAAGACAGCCATCTACATACTTCATGTCCATAGGTTTTCATGGCCGGTGTTCAGTATATAACTTCAGCTCTTGGGTGAGCAGCAAAGTTATACGTCTTTATAATCTTCGATATGGACACCTCAAACATCAAAGAATTTCCTTACCATTTGAATGACAACTGTATAATAGAGTTAGATGAGTTAAGAATACTTGTGTTTTTTGACGTGACTTACATAATTATTTCAAATTAAGAAATCTGCAGTTAGATCAGTAAATGATGTGCTAGTTTGTGTACTAAGTGGCTGGGGATTGGTTGCTGGTGGGAGCATTTGAAATTTTCTTTTTGTTGACATGTTTGGAATGGCCCTAGTTCCCACTACTATAGGGAATATTTATTATTATTTATTTGGGGAGGATGTGGACTGGATTCATGTGGATCATGGTAGGGATTTGTAGAGATCTTTCATAAAAAGCAGGGTATTTCTTGACTAGCTAAGTGATAATTATTAGCATCTGAAGAAAGGCTGTGCACCATGGAATTGTTTAAATATATAAAGTCTACATTTTTAATACACCTTTCATTACACATTTAATATGTAGCCCTCAAATAATATTAATTCTGTATAGTTCTGATTTATTTTGTACAAAAAGTGAACAACTTGACTTTATCTCCTTTGTGTCAAAATGGATCATGAACAAATGTCAAACCCCCTGGAAATGGTTTTGATACATAATTCAGTGCATTACCTTCCAACAGATAGCAGAGACATCCGTTGCTCTAGATAAATATTTATAACAAATGCTGTTTCCTGCTTGCCTATTTCAGTAACCTCAATATTTAATCCTTCATATTTTAAGCAAAATATTGTGCTAGCTTCAAAGGTTATATTGTCTTTAGAAATAAAAGAGTAATATAGAAAAAATCTCTCCTGTTCTGTTTCAGAGATTCAATGTAGCCTTGACACGTTCAAAAGCTTTGTTAATTACTGTGGGAAATCCAGATATTCTTCAGCATGATGAACATTGGCGAGAACTGATCTTATTCTGCAGGGATCATGGAGGTTATAAAGGCTATCCACTTAGGTTAAGCCCTTTGTCTCAGCAAGTGGAACACATAACTTTTGATCTCTCTTCTCTAAGAATTGACCTAGAAGGTAATATATTTCCCCTTAGTCTAGAAGGAGTCATAATAAAAACTGTATTTTCCATAAAGAAGCCCTTATGCAGAAGATGTTCAAGGTCTGTGGAAGCCCATTAATGGGCTTCCTTAAATTCTGGTATATCCTCAAACACTATTAAAAAGTAGAGTATAAAAAATATTTTTTATTTTGATCAGTTTGGATAAAATGTATTTGAGAGGATGACATTTGGACATCAAGCATCATGATTAGCAGTCTTGTTTTATATTGAAACTTTTCCCACAGACTACCTAGTTATGCTAACTGGAATTATGTTTCTTTTGGTTCCAGGGAGCAGCAACACACAAGATGCTCCACAATGGCACAGTGACATATAGTTTCCATTGGATAATGTGATGATCAGCAGTATTTCATAAATCTCAAGATAAATCCGTGATATGATTTTGCATTTTGGAAGCTGTAATGTGTGTTAGAAGTAGTGGGATTTTGTCATGCTGTAATTCTTCATATCCTAGAACAAATGCCAGATGCAATATGAAAACAAGAATGAGAGAAATTTCATCATAATAAAAAAAAGATACATGTACCTGGAACAGTAAGTTGTAATTGATTTGATTTTATCAAACATTGAATTTGTCATTTAAAATGTCTTTTAACCATATATATTTTTATACATCATTGCTGTATAATGTAAAATTAGGCGAGTGGAACTGGATGCATGTCATTAAGAATCCGTCTAGCATCTTCAGCATTTTATATGCCCATACTGTAGCAGATTCCTGCCAAATGTTGGGCTACGCAGTGCAGACTGAAAGGGGTTTTGCTTCAGGAAATGCTGAATATGCCCAGTGCTTCATTATTTCTTCTGCCTATAGTATGGGACATTCAGTTACATGTATAGTCTTTCTAAGGGTCTTGACTTTTATTTAATGATTTGCAGTGGTTGTATATCAACATGGAATGTTTTATGCATACATTCTAAAGATTGGGGAAGTAGTGTAATACTGTATCTAGTTAGTACAGAAAATTAAATTCTGTAAGTCACATTTTAAAAAAGGTTGTTGTCTTTTTTGCATTGAATTACTTATATGAATATGATGTTATATCATTATGGTGATGAAAATGATTGAGAAATTAAAAATATGCTATTAGCACTGTATTTTGTTTCTGAAATATCAAATAATTTCTTGGAAAGTTGCATGTAATGATATATATGAATATAATTTTTTCAACAGAGAACATGTATTTTAAAATGATCTTTCTTATATATCAGTGCATGACATAGGGACGGAAGACAGCAATCTTCATACTTATCACCATGCCAACCTCACATCTCAAACTGAAGTAGGTTGGTTTGAAAAAACTGGGAAGGAGGTGAGTGTGATTTTCATGAAATCCTTGAATTGGGAAAACTGAAAAAGGTCCTCTTTGTTTTGTGCACTTTAATAGATTTGATGTGTGCTTGAAAAAACTAAACATGTATTGACCTTTTTTAATTTCCCATCATAATGGTGGTCATGTAGTGAATAAACTGCTTATAGACAAGGACTGTATTAAAACCTGTGATTAGGTTCATTGTTAATTTATAGTTAATTTAGCAATGAGACAATCAGTAATGAGCTGTTGTCAAAGTATTCAAAGTTTAATGTGAAAGAATTGTGTAGTAAAGAGTATGTACAAGAAGAGTTGCATAATTTGTAGCTAATCAGAAATTGATAATGTGATTCCAGATTGAGTGATTTCATATGTAACCATTTGTAGTAATTTGTCAGATAGTATTAAACATGATACTGGTATTGTGAATAAAATTTGCCATGACTTTTTATATTCTTAAGTATAATCTTTCCAACTACTAATATTTTTAAGCACTGCTTTGATACAAGTATGAAGTTCTTTCTGTTATGATGTAGCTTGATTTATAAAAATGTTGATCATTTCCATTGATATATAAGAATTTTTTTGTTTTTCGTATATTATGAACATGATAAAAGTTTGTAACGTTTGATTCTATGATCCATTGTTATAGTAATTAAAGGAATATTTTTTTGAAATGTTTCAATAGAGTATGTTGTTTTTTTTAATTACATTTGGAATGATGATCATAATTCTGTGGAAGCTATGTGTGAGATTCAAGAAAATTTTGGTGTGTGTCTGAAAGTTATGGAATTAAATACAAATGCCATCCATAAATTGCATGTAATTTTTACAAAATGTTTTACATAAGAATTGTTAAATTTTAATTGTTATTGAAGTCAGTTGATTAATATTCTCTGTATTTAAAAAAAATAAATTAGTGCATTTGCGTGAACAATTATTTATTATGTCCCACCTTTTAAGGGTAAAATTACTTTTATTATTCCATTGCTGTGGCAACATATCTAATTGCAGTCATTTTTATCATTGACTGTTAATCCAGAATAGCTGTCAGAATGTAATAAAAGTTATGTTTTAAGTGTGTCTATAAATAATATGCTGTTTACTATGTAATAATGCAGGGTTGGCAAACTTGAGTTGTTGAGTCTCAGTTATCCTGTCTAGAAATACTTATGACAGATCTTCCAGACTTTTGAGTTCCATGAAATGACTCTGGGGTCCAGTGCATGAGCGATGGGGACTAGCAATATAAAGATGATTAGAATATGAAACTTTCACTTTTTACTCATAGTGCTGATTTATTAGAATTCATAAAGCTGAACCTCCATAGTACCTACATGCCTTCATGGCATGGTCTGTACTTGATGTTTTCTTATAGACTTAATAAATACTATTGCCATGGTTTTTTCTCAAATTATTTTGATGCCTGCATGTGGTACCTTAGTTTGAATCTGGTATTGTGCATAACCCTAAATCAAGTTACCAATAAAATAACTGTAGCTGTAAAAAAGTTGGTCAGTCCACTCTTTATAGGCAAGTGGAATGCAGTTTTGAAACTGTTAGTCAAAAAGCAAGCTTTAATAATCCCTGCAGTTTCGCAACAAAAGTGGAACTAGAATGAACATTTTGCGCAATTAAATATTAATGAACGTTTCTTGGAACGTAATTTGAATTAACCGCCCCGGGTTGCTATGGCGATACTGAATTCGATGTTTGGCATGGATGCCCAGTATTGAACGAATTCCTTTCACTTTGTCGTTTAAAATTGACAATATTTATTTTCTTGGTTGTAAGGAGTGATAAAGTATGCAGATTGTTGGTGTAATATAGCTGCATGCCATATATTTGAGCTATGTAATTTACGTAAAAGTGATGGTTTATTATTGTCTCGTATTTTTAGGTTAGGTGTAGTGTATAGACAATATATACATATATATTCCGAAACTTTTATTCACCAATAATAACAACGATCGTAATGATAGTACACAATGGTTATGTTGACAGTAATTATTAGACTAACAATTTAATTGTGTCATGTTGCTATTTTGAAATATAGATCTGACCATTGGAGAGAGGCAGCTGAGTTTTTATAAATCGTTTATTAGGGAAATAAATATTTATGGTAATATTTGAGTTTCTAACCTCCACTTTCCAAGCTTCCAATGTTAAAATTGTGAATAAATGTAGAATACTAGGAGAAACAATGGATATATTGTAAACTCTCCTGTTTTTACTGACTTACTAAATGTACCAACCCATGTATAATTTTTGTCTTGATTGTGCAGAAATTTTCTTGAATGCTTGAAAGTCTTTGTCAATATGTGTGGCCAGGATTGATAACAAGATAGTATATAAAATGCAAATGGTGTTAAAAGCTGTAAAGATAACAGAGTTTGAAGTTGACAACTTAATTCTAATTCCATAATTAAGAGTACAGTGAACTCTTACTCCATATTCCTGTATGCCTTCATGGCCTGGGTCTTTGGCATAGGGTACATTTATAAATATAAATGTTATTAATGTGTTTGTTGTGTCACCAATACATTGGAATGCAACAGTCAGGCTAGACTTCCTGGCCTTTCTTACAGAAAAAGAATATCATTTAGTAAGGTAACACACATTGAGATTGTATAAGCTCAATTGAAGGCTGATTTTTTTAAAATCTGTTATCGTAAATGAGGTCCAGTTTATTTTTGAGTTGAAAATATGAGTGATTCTTCTTTGCTATGACTCAGTTCATAACAAAAGAAACTTTTAGTTTGGATTTGGTTGTCTGTGTAAATCCTCAAATTCCCCCTTCCAAATAAATTTCAACCTTATTTATGGAATTAAATTATAATTTTATACTATTTTCATTTAATGTCATGTGGCATGTATCAAAATATAGCTTTTAAAGGCAAAAGACAACTTAATTGTAAGATTTGAGGTTTTGTTTGTGTACAAATGCACATGAACATACATATGTATTTATTTCAGAGTGATTAAACCCTTTGTGCTATGTGTTATCTTATGTTGTTTCTTTTCAGATTCCATTCTCTGTCTTTTACATCATGGAGATGGAGCTGTCGAGAGTGGATTATACATTGGTGGGGATAACAGCTCCACAAACAATGAAGCTTTTACCTAGCACAGGAACAGGAATGACGCAAAAGGTAATTATTACATTTAAATAATTAAGATGGTTGAATCATAGGATATTTAGCAATGCTGTATTATCCATAGTGGTTATTTAGTATTGAATTATGTGAGGAGATGATCACAAATATTGAACTTGATAGCACTGGGTGGGGAGACAATTTGCTGGCATTCACCTACAAGGACTGAGGATAACCATGAAAAATATATCAGGATAGTTGTTATCCTAGCCAAGATATTAAAAATGGACTCATCTTGATTACAAGTAGGAAGAATTACCACTTGAGCTAATTTGCTTGATTTGTTATTGTTTAGTAAACTGTGTACAACTCCAGTAAAATTACTATTGACCCATTTAGTAAAGTAGAGTAAAACTGTCCCACTATACGCCATGTAGGCGCTTGGGGGGAGAGGTAGTATAGCTCCTACTCTTTCTTGACCTAGGCATTAGATGGGGTAAGTGGTCAGCATCACGCCCCGGCCATGCTCTACCCCTGTGAAAGGACCCCGGTACCCAATGGATAGGAGGCTGGGAGGGCCCCAGAACCGGTCTGGATGCAGAGGCTAAAGGAAAAATCCTGTGCCTCATTGGGGATCGAACCCTGGTCATCCAGTCAATAGTCAGCCACTATACTGACTAAGCTATGCTAGCTCATGTTGACCCATTTACTTAACATATTGCTTCTCTAAAATACCATTTTAAGTTCTGTAATTTTCACTACATTTGCTTTGTTATAGGTAACTGTTGCAGATCAAGATGGGGTGTTACAAGTATTTTCTGTGAAGAAAGGAGATATCCAGATAGGTTTTAAAACATTGCCAAGTGCTGGTATATCTCGTTTGGAACTTGGTGGTGCATTAGGTAGGCATGTTTTAACTAGCCAAACTTCTGTTAGTAGGACTTCAAGGTTCAGTGCCACAAATACTAAGCTCACCTAGAACAGAATTCTGAGCCACTTGCATCCACCTTCTATTCCCAAAACTTACTTTCCAAGATGCATGTTAATTGTATGCTTCCATTTCCTCTCAGTGATCTCTAAAATCTGTTTGGATTTCTTGTCTTCCCCATCTGAAATGCAGCTTCCTAGATTTTATTATGTTATCAATACTAGGTGACCTGTAGTAATAACAAAGTCCCTTATTATATAGTAATTGTCTGCCCTGGGATTGAAGGCTGCTGAAACATGGATAGCTTTATAGAATGATGCTAGGCACAGTAATAGGTACCTTTTAATCTAGAACTTATTTATGATGTAAACTGTGAAATATTGTGTAATTATGGTATTTGTTACAGGAACTGTAAAGGATAAAATATTTGTTTCCTCTGAAAACGAAGTCCGTGGATACACAAAGAAAGGAAAGTTATTTTTGGGATTTGACACAAATCTTACAGAACATATTAAATCAATGTGAGTGAAACTTACCATACTTTTTGTGACATTTATAGATTATTTATTTATTTCAGCTTGAAGTACAATGGATTTTTACTAAGAAGATTGGTGTAGCAGTAACACTGTAGCTCTGTTGTCAAAAATATCTGCTTCAAATTTTGACATGGTTACTGGCCATCATCGTTGGGGTTTATAATGACTTTCCTCAAATTTTAAAGGCACATTTTTGGTATAATACCTTCAAATATGCCATTGCAACTCCTTCCCAAACCTTACCTTCTCTTCATTTATGATCATATTCCTATCTCATTTGACATTTTAGAACTTGCATATCTGGAAAAGTGTGATTAAATAATCTAAGAATCGTATAAAATCATGGATACAAACAAAACTGTTTACACATTAAATAACACTTTGTGCCAAATGCATTTTGACCTCAAAAGGTCATCATCGGTGGCAAAAACATTAATTCATTAGTCTGTCTATTAAAACCATACAATTCATGAATCGATGGTTTAGTATAAAGCACTGTAAAAGGTCGCACTTTATAAAGCCATACTTTATGTAATACCACACTGAACATTTAATTGCACGTGAGTTGGTGTATTATCTAAATTGAGTTACTCAGCTTAATGTCCACTGACCCAAGTTTTACTTGAGGTTGCCATTGTTGGTCTATTGTGAGCTGTGGTTGCGTTGTCTGTGCCTGGATTATTTATATATCAATACACTGCACGGTATGCAAGGTTTTAAGAATCTAAGAATCAATCAGCATTGGGTCTATGAAAGTCATTGGCCTTTATGAACATACAGTAGGGAAAAAAAGTAAAAGTAGGTGTATTCTGGTAATATATGAACTCCAAATTGGAGATAACCTCTTTTCTTGTTTTACAGGTGTTGCTAGCTTGCTAGTGTAGATAGCTTCATATGATTAGTTATTGGACAGATGGCATTAAGAAAGTTGTTTTGTAGTGTCATTGTTACTTTTTGATCTGATCACCATGAGTATTGTGCATTTCTTGCATCTGTGTAGCAATCTGGGGGATTATAAGTGTGTTTTTTGTCTACAAAAGAACATAATAGATCTAGGTTAAACACTATATGTGATATATATATATATTCACTGTGTAGAAGTTTGTAGTAAATGTTTTTTGTTATTTCAGTGAGCGTACATAGACACCAGATGAAATGCCATTACCTGTTGTAATTTGGTAAAACAATTTTGCATTGGATATTCATTTTATTTCTTGATTCTGAAATAAATAATCATAATTTCTGCAGTCATGTGTAATGGTACATGGGAAAGAAGAAAATGTCATTACTGGAAACTTTGTGAAATTTTTACGAATTTAGAATTGTGTAATACAAGTAGTGATTATAAAGGATTGGATTATGTATTAGGGCAGAATATTATTGTGTACTGAACTTATACAAATTTTAAAAAAATCTCACTCCCTGGGCCTGTCAGATGACAAGAATCAAAGAATTAAAGTTGTTTACAGCTAATACTGAAAAACACTTTGTGTGGTTAAACCATGTTCTACTGCAGTTCTTACTCTCTCTGTCTGTGTACATTGGATCTGACCCATTTTTGATGTAATGTGAACATTGCTTGTTGCAGGCATGTTAGTGGTAGTAATCTTCTTGTTTGTGGTAAACATGCATACAATCAATATCACGATTGTAAAGACACAAACTCCTATCTGTGTGGTGATGAAATCAATGATGTCATTTCACTCTCTGCTGAAAAGGTAAAATATCTTTATCACAGTGGGCTCAAAATCTTTACAGATAGATCTCCCTTAGAGTAATTGTATGTAAAATCCTTTTTATATCTCATTGCCTATTCTCAACCCACCCATTCTTCTAATCAGTACAACTAAGGAGAGAACTTAAAGTAAACTATTTACCACAATATGGTTTCTTGTTTAAGGTGGAAGCCATCCTTTCACTAAAGGAGCTCTGTATATATTATAGTTTTCTTTCTTAGAAGTTTCTCCACCATAATTCTATATAATGTTTTTGCTTTCCTCATCTGTGCTACATTTGAAGCCCATTGTAATTTCCATATCTTAACCATCTGAGCAAACTAGAAGAATTTACAAAGCACATCATTTAGTTTCTGAATTTTCTGTGTATGGTGAACCCTTCTTAGGCTGAAATACTTTTCTTATATGTTTGTTTCAGATACTTGTAATTTATATTCTTTTGTCAGGATAAGAGTATAAAAATACTAAAAAAATGCTGAAAAATGTATTATATATATACATTAATCGTTAGTGTTCTTGGAAAGCACACACATGGAGGCAAAATCTTGAAGTGAAGAATAACAATAATTTCCTGCATTTATTCCTGTCATATCTTTGTCATGAACCTCATTTTAATTTGTTATTGTTGTTCACTGAATTAATGCCCTAACAGAGGATAAAAGCAATATTACAGAGCATAGCTTTTATGAAGAACTTATATGAGTATTTGATACATTTCCTATGTGCAGGAAATGTAACACACATGGGAGGGATGAGAAATGCATACAAAATTTTGGTCAAGAAATGTGAAGGAGGCCTAGTCATGCATGGGAATATAATATTACCACGGAACTTAAAGAAACTGAGTATGAGAGTGTGTGTTGGATTCATTTGGCTTTAGAGTCCAGTAGTGGGCATTGTAATGAAACTTTGCTTTCCATAAAAGGTGGAAAGTTTCTCAAATAGCTGAGTATTTATCAACTTCCCAAGAATGATTCTGTTCCATGTAGTTAGTTATTAGGATTTCTGTTGCCCTTCCTATGGAACTGAACAAATGAATATATTATTTCCTGTTCTTTTGCAGGTATTTTAACTCTAATGCTAAAGGTTTTTATGTATCTGTTTGCACAGAACAACAGGTTGACTCCGGTATTAGCTTGCGAGGATAGAACGCTTCGAGTATTGGACCGATCATCTCTGCTTCACAATATAGAGGTTGATGCTATACCCACAGTGCTTCATCTTAATGGCAATGAAGGAGGAGAAACTGGAGATGAGATACTATATGGCACTGCAGATGGGAGAGTTGGGCTTGTTTGCATAGGCAGGTTAGTTCTTTTCCTTTTTCGTTTTCTTCTGTCTGTTCTTATCTTGTGAAGTCAGTGTTTGCATTCACATCTATCCCTGCATAATTTAATTTATGTCCATATCATCTTTCTCCTTTCCACATTTTTCTCACAGTCTGAGATTTGAGATTCCTACAGTGGTGAGGATGTTGATTTTGGTCTTCTGGATTCTGACACTCTTGTGTTCTTGCAGGTGGATACTGTCGATATCAGCGTCTGTCCATCATATTGTTGACCTCACAGGTTCCTTTCTTCTTGAATTCATTTCCATTGCCATTGTGGGTAATCCATTCACTTCACAAAGCCATATCACTTGTAACTGTTAGTTTCTAATTTCTGATGTAGTTTATGTACTTATTAAAAATTCTATTTTGGTTTGCCTGTATTCTTTTTATGTCCTTCTTGTTAAGAGTGTTTGTCTGAACTGCATATGTCA